TCCAAAATAAATTATGGATATCTCCATTTCTAGATATTGTTTACAGCAGTGTTAGAAAAATGTAAAATCTCCGAAAGTGATTGCATGCAAAAACCTTCTCCCGACCTGTTACTGACATATGCCTTCCCGTTTGTGCAGTCTTATCAATATCGTCAATCAATTAACTACAGATTTTCCCAACTCTTTGCGTCGCCGCTACCGAAAATTATCGATTAAATCAAAGCGCCTTTGGGATAAGCCCTCAACACTTGCCTACTTTCCAGTCCAAAAACCTCACTTATGAAATCTAATTAAAGCTTAATTATTCAGACTTCGGAAATCTGCATTTGAACGCCACCTCAGGGGACAGTAGAGGACGCTATTGCATGAACTCTATTTCAGACGGGTTTAGGTTCATTGATAATCACCGTCCTATCATTGAAGAAGAATAACCAGTTTGTGATATTACATTCTACGCATGCAACATTGTGTGAGTTGCAACTTAGACTTCCTTCATGACCGATAATTTCCGTTCTTCAGGTCCCTTCTGGCCATTATGGTGCCGCTACCGAAAATTATTGATTTAATCAAGGCACAGCATTGCACGCAATAGTCCTTGAGATAATTTGAGGCAGATTGATACTTCCTAACCCTAAAATCGTACACGTCAATCCTAATCTAGCTCCCAACACTCTTATACAAAACGCAGATTTGCTTCGAAAATTCGCAATGAGACACCACTACTAACTAAAATGGAGTTCAGCACATGACTCCCCATTCTAATGGGATTAGATAGGGTAATCTCCCTACAAGCCAACGCCTACAAATGTCAGCATGCTTACAGGGTTTTGCCATGATTGTTACAGTGTTACAACTCTCCCCTTTCATACATCCACCTTGAATTTGATTGAGGACTAGCATTCTCACTGCCTTCACAACGATTCTGTCAAGAAGTACTGACTACTTCAGTAAGTCTTGTCACTTCCAGGTGACCCCTAAACAGTCCTCTACTTTCAAGCTCAGTAATCCTACTTTTCAATCCTACTAGAAGTCGTAATATGTGAACGCAAGACTCATCCACCTCAAGAGTCCTCAGTAAGACGAAGTGCCGAGCGAAGACCAGCGTTGGAGACAATCAATGGCCCATCAATCACATTACCACTCCTCCGCACTGCTCATCCCTGCCCTTATAAACTTTTCCGTACTCTTTATATGTGTGTAGATATACTAATAGTAGTAAGAACAATTGGATTATAGACGTTCTAGCAACTGCTGCGCAGCGTATGTGGATATTACCGAAAGAAAAAAAGGATGGAAAGGGCGAAGAAAATATTATGAGACCTGGAGCAAGGGCTGAGTGGAGGAAGAGGAAGTTGGAATGTGCGTGTACCAAATGAACACACACACACACACACTCGCACATACCACATACACCGAGAGCGCAAGCGATCCAGAGATCAAGAAAAAAGTGACAAACAACAAGTACAAGTCCATAAAAGTTTAAAGACGACAGGAGAGTAAGGAGGCGGGGATGGGAGGGGAAAGGAAATATAGAGAGATATTGCACGCGCATATACACCCTTGTAAATGCAAACAGGAAAAGGAGATCAGGATCCGCTCGTCAGGGCTCCTACACCACCCTACGGCGCAATGGCTGATGATGATGACTCCGTGTCACACTCACCGCTTTCACTCCACGTTGTGGTTGATAAGTCGACCCTCGCCCACGTCGCCGACGTCTCCGTCTCTGACGGTGGTTAGCAGCCACCACCGAGGAACGAGTGAAGTAGGGTGATGAAGAGGCTACTTTTCGAGGAACCGATACGTTAGCTGTGGTGCTGTTGGTGCTATTATTACCACGTTTAACGACCCTCCGACGACTCCTACGCGTCGGTGCATTTATTGTAGCAACGGCAGCGGAGGATGAGGAGGAAGATGAAGAGAGCGGGAGGCTACAGATAAATCCATCGTGCACCCCTTCTTCGCCATTACCACCTTCATCCTCGCCTTCATCCTCCTCCCCCATGGCCACTATCGAGCCAACACCATCATCGTCACCAACTACGGAGACAGCAGCAGTAGACTTGTCAGAGGGAGTGGGAGGAGGAGGAGGGAATAGATTTTGTTTTCGAGTGGCTTTGTTGTGCAATGGAGGGGGTAGCACCGAGGAGAGCAGAGGATCATCAAAATGAGGGCTAAAGTCCTCCCTCTTAAATAACGTGAGAGTCGCCGTTGTTGGCGTTGATGGTAGTGGTGGCGGAGTGGTCCGCTCAAATGTGAGGCCTCGACCGCGATTAGTAAGAAGGATGCGCGGACGAGAGGGTACCGAGGTGACTGTGGCTGAGACAGAGGAGGATTGGGATGGTGGTGGCGGTGATGATGATTGGAAGGCTAACAAATGTGAAGATGCCGCCTTCACGGAGGAGATAAAATGCTGTTGGGATCTGGGGAAGGTGATCTCCTCGTCACCGTATAGTTTATAGAAGGCGGCTGTTGCTGCTGCTGTTGTTGTTACGAAGGAAGATGAGGTCGTTCTCGAACTAGAGGAGGAAAAGGTAGTACCTCTAAGACAAGACCATAAATCATTTCTGAGGCGTTGATGTTATGAATTAATGTGATAATACAGATTGAAATAGCTCAACTACTATGAGAAGTACAAACTGCGTTTATTTATCGCTCCAACTTCCTTCCGCTACATCTGCGCGCATGCCTTAGTATTTACTTGGTACCTGTAAAGGAACTTTGGCAAGAAAGGTGTCAACACAGCTGAGTCATCCAAGAATAGCCTCCTTCTTGTTGCCATAGCCTATAAATCGCAAACCTCCGAATGTGCCCACTGATTCGATTATCCTATTCTTTGAGAATTGAAGTAACGTGGCCCACAACCACCTGACCCTTGCTGACAGAACCAAACCCCTATAGGGCAGTCAAGAGAGTGAATAAGCTCACCAAGCTAGCGGAAGAATTCCATTTCTATGCAATTTTAACGTAGTCGTTATTTCACAAACCTCTGTTGTTAACAAGGAAACTCGCGCATTTAGGCCATCTTAAAAGCCAGTGACACCAATCAAGTACCTCTGTTTCCCACCATTCACTAATGAATGGACGTACCTGTGTTGTTGCCTGTCGTCCTAATAAGTGTGTAGAGTGACCGATACTATTGTGCGCAGATCACAGGTATGCAAAAGGACACATCGCTAAAATACCGCTATGTTTAGCACCGTCACAGTTGCCATCCATTTTGATAGCACAAAGGTAAAATTAATAGACCCGGTATGACTGCAGCTCCACTCTCTTCATTAAATGCCAACTGACGAGATAAGGGTTTGGCCAGTGTAAACGACCTCTGACCCTTCGATTTGACATTTATATGCAAAGTGTGTAGTACCCGTACAAATAAAATGCACCCGTGAAATTGAACATCGGGTGCCCTCAGGAGGTAAGACGGGTACAGGAACGATGGTAACTCAAAAAAGCTAGAAGACGAAAAATGAATAAAACCAATGGAAGATCTCAGTCAAAAGGTAGAATAACAGAAACGCATTATGGAACCCACAAAATAGGGTGTTCATGACATAGGTCGTGGCATGAGGCACTGAAATTATCCAGTGAAAAAGACTTAAAAGTTCTAAATTCAAAGCCTAGGAAATACCATTAGGGATGAAGGGAAAATAAGCACTCTAGAATGCCTCAAAAACCCACGGTATCCAAAGCGTCAAAAGAGCAAAACGAATAAGTGACTAACACTCCTTTCCCCTAGAGTAGCTTAATCAAGGGCCCAAGTCCAAGAAGACTAACACAGAAAAATAAAAAGGCCAATCGACTAGGCAAAATGTTAAAACGCTCTTACAGCCACCTTCAAGATAAATTTAAAGCCACGTAAGCTCAATAAGGGGAACTATAAAGGCCTTACAAAGCCGTGGACTGATTTTGAAAACCGCGGGAGTAAGCCAGCCTGAGACTCACGTTACAATGCTAGGGGATGGTAATAAAGGGAGACACAAAGGTTCTGACGTTGAGAGAGGAAATGGCTTGGTGGAAGACCAAGAATGTGATAATAGGAGCTGTAGTAAAGAAAAGGAAATCAGGAAGACAACGCTTCCAACAAAGCAATATCTGGCTTGCAAATGATAACAGAAATGTTAACAATGCACCAAAATAAGCTCATTCACAAACTTAGAGCGCGATACCGAAGGAGGGGAACATAGTTACGTAAAGCCTTCCAAGGAGCAAGATAAGAAGAAACTAAGGTAGCATTGCCATGTTCAAGATCTAGTAAGCTAGTTCAGCAAATGGAAAAAACAAATACCTAGTTCAAAAAACATAAAAAATGCATAAAAAGGGGCATAAACTGCCAATGAAACTGAAACGCTATCAGAGAACTTGAAATAGAGGTTCCAGAAACAAGAGGTAAACACATAGTACTCAAAGTTGCTTACGCCTCGAAAGGAGACAGCGCAGTGGCTGCAACAGTTGCCGAA